TTAAACTGTGTGGGCGCGACCTACAGCAAATACACACAGAGAGATTAGAGAGGTGCAGTGTGACAGATCTGTCGTCAGTGCTGATGAGTGGACACCGCAGTGACTGTGTGTGTGTGTGTGTGTGTGTGTGTGTGTGTGGAACAGAGGGGTGATAATGACTTGATGGTCTGTCCTTTACCATCCTCAGAAAACCCATGAAATGGACATATAATTAGATACACAGTGTGAGGATGTGCCAGTCCACTGACTGTTGGCTCACTTTAAAGCAAATCGGTGTGGGTTTAACATGGGATTTGTGAGCATAGAGGTCTGAAGTGCAATAACAAAACATGAGTTTTAGAAACATGTTCTAGTGCAAAAATAACTGCCATATATGTTGCAATAAACAAGAGCCAATTTATTAATATCATAACACCTGTATAAAAGTGTTGGGACTTTCTTAGCAGATCACAGGGATATGTCAGGTAACATGCACACAACCACCTAGATTAATCAATTGATTTGTTCAGTTACTAAATATCTGAAATAATCACTTTGGCTGCAATAGCGCAACAGCGCCTGTTCAATTTTTAAGCAGCCTTGTTTCCAGTAATATTTTTTTCTTATTATTATTATTATTTTTTAATACTAATGAACACATAATCCACATAATACTTCACCATAATTGTGACATCATTTTGTTGGAGAGGTTTTAAATTGCATTTGTCAGTAAACTAATGAAATTAACAAATTAAATTACATTTAATAAACTAAATGGAAAAGTAATGCAAATTATTTGAAAACACCTTTGATAATATCTCCTGAGGTTCTTAATTTCTGATAATCCCTACATGATCTTATTAACAAGATCTTATTGAGTGAAAACCATACACTTTTTTTTTACATACATACATTTAGATGTCTTATTATCCATTTTATTAATGCTCTATAATAACAATAACAGTAACAAAATATCAATATCCAGGGCACCATGACACTGTCTATTAACCACATCAATAGATTCTAAATGTTTCTGAGCTTGTAAGAGTATGTCTATCGTTAGTACTATCTGTCTGTTCTGACCTTCAAACTATTTTACATTTAGTCAGATTTTGTCAAGCCAACATAAAGTCTGTCTTACAAATGTTTCAATATAGTAATATTGATTAAATTTTTTAAAAAGTTCTATATCCATGATGAAAGTGGAGTGGGAAGTCAGAGAATCTGTGTGTCACAAAAAAAAGAAATAAAATAAAGAAATAGTTTCTGCACACGACAAAGTTCAAATTAAATGAGGAAAACGACAATCCCACACAAGGGCTCGACATTAACGCTTGTCTGCTTGTCTGGGACAAGTGGATTTTGTGAAGGGACAATTAGTGAAAGAGAATTTTACTTGCCCCGACCGGACAAGTAACCTGATTAAAACGTCAATAACAAACAATAACTAGGGCAGCACCGAAACTTTGGCGAGAATGATTCTGATTTTATTACTTTCAGTGTAAACGGTGACTGATAACGAATAATGTATTGATAGTATCAAGGTTGCGTCACGCAACCTGTCTGACTCGCCGAGAAATCAAAACTAATAGGCGCAACAGCACAAAGAAACAAACATGAACAAACTACTGCGGTAGAAAAAATATAGAAAAAAATATAGCCACAGTGTCATGTGTTCCTGTGGCTCAGTGGTAGAGCATTGCGTTAGCAGCGCAAAAGGTCGTGGGTTCAATTCCCAGGGAACTCACATACTGGTAAAAAATGTATAGCCTGAATGCACTGTAAGTCGCTTTGGATAAAAGAGTTATCTATATAATATATGATATAGGAAAGCAACAAGAGTGATGTTTTCCCGACTATCAGCACAATTGCAAATGTGACATTGATTTTATACGACAGTAGTTTAATAATCAAGTAGTTAATATTGCTGAAATGTGCATGGTACAGATAAAATGCATACATTTGTATTCTATACTGGGATAATATTGGGGTGGAAGACAGGGTGGCAACTGCCACCATAAGAAAAATGCCAGCCCAGTAGATCAGCCCCTGAGATGCACTCCATAAGTTGATATCGTACCAATGCCACAAGACGTCACTGTTGGCAACATGTTGATTCTCTGAGGAAAGAGCTAACATTGTACTGAGCAGTGAATGCCATACCCTCTCAATATATTTTACACTGTAGCATTACTATATGTGGATGCTGAAGTGCGCTTAGACACTCCGCGCTGCAATTGAAGCATAATGATTCCAATATTTTATTGTTGCTGCTAGAGATGTAGACACTTAGGTTCTCACAGCCCCACAAGCTGTTAAAAGTGTCCTTATTGTCCTTATTAGTTTTATTGTATTCTGACCTCTAACAGTGTAAAATAGTAAGTACATTATCTCTAAACATTATAGAGCTTTTATTTTAGGAACATAAGATGAACTGTTCAAATTCTGATTTTACAGAAAGTTAAGTGATATTTCTAAAAATATTTTTATTACACCTCTCTGTTCAGCTTCTGCTAATTTGTACAGAACAAATTTATTGAATTCCCTAAGTTTTCTAATTTATTAAATTTTTCAATTTAAATTGGTAAGAACCGCATGAGCTTATATTTATTAGGAACAGCTTTTATTTAGTACAGAGGTTTTCCAACTGGATTCTGGGCAGAAAAGTATCAAAAGTGTATTGTAAAAAAATAACAACAACAATAATAATAATAAAAACTGTAAAAAGTGATCAACTGCAAATGTTACCTTAAAGAGATTTTTTTCCCCCAATTTAACTTTTACCTGATTGAAATTAACGTTGTTGGTATAACAATGCATTTATTGATTCAGTGATGCTAAATAACCTTTTAAAAAATTATTTAATTTAATTTAATTTAATTTAATTTAAACCAGTTAATTTATGTTACCATTTTTAGGTTACAATTTTTCCAGTGTTTATTAAATTAATTAAATTAAATGTTGAATTAAATCAACTGAATTACTGTCTTTCTGCTTTCTAAAACCTTTTAAAACAACATTTATTGTGAATAGTGTTTATAAAACAGATTTTAATGAAAAATGTTCTCTTCAAGAGAATGTATTTAACATTACTCTAATAACAAGCAAAAACAAAACAAAACAAAAAAACAAAAAACAAATACAACATACAAATACAAAATTAATATTTACCAGATAATATTTTCTTTTGGTTTTAGTACAATGACACTATAAAATCTAATTAATGAGTTTTTAAAACAGCGTGTTGTCTTTATATTATAATGTTTTTTTTTTCCTTCACACAGTAAAATACATTTTGTAATACATTAAAATACTGTATATCCTATATTTTAGGAAAGGTCTTGAAGGTAATTATCATATTTAGGGGTTCATGGCATGAGTTTAAAAACCCAGAATTTAGGGCCTCATCCATGGGAATTAGATAAAATAATAACCCTTGTTTTATATTCTCCATCTGAGATCTTTCCTGTATGCCTATAGGGTACTAAAAATTCCTGTGTGGGTATTACACATCTAATTTTCAGGCCACTGTGTCAGATTTACGATGGCCATTTAATGTTTTTCCTCACATCACTTGATGGATGATACAGACCTGGGATGATCTCTGAATCTTATAGTCTCACCTGTACAAGTCTAGTTCCAGAGTTAATTTAAAGCGATTTAAAGGTCATATATTGTGCCTCGGAGGCCATTTTTTTATTTGATTATCTCTGTGTCACTGTCACACACTTTGTTTGTATGTTGCACCTGGGCAATAATACACGAGACATGAGAATGCTTGGCTGTTGCCAATCTCAAAAAATGTGGAAAATCTGCATTGTTTGCTGAATGATATTGTAACTCTCAATCAATGCAAGTTTCTTGTCTTCTTGGTTCATTTCAGCAATAGAAGATTCATTCACCCTTATACTAGCTTTTCTAGACATCTCTTTACGTTTTAATGTTCAACTGTGTACATTATATTAAAATGAACACCATTTTCCAAACATATTTTTATTACAGTCAGTAGTCAGATACCCCTTTTCCACCAGCATGAACCGGGTGCTAGTTCAGAGCCAGTGCTATTGCCGGTTCGGAGTTGGTTCAACTGGCGAGCCTTCTAAGAACCGGTTTACCTTTCCACGGGCTAGAGAGCCACCACAGAGCCAGGTCTTATATCACTGAATATGTCTCATCTTTCCCAGTAATGCTAGCGTGGCAGCGCCAAACACAACAAGCTTGTCTGAGATGCATTGGCGTCATGCAGACCGATCGGTGCACGACACCAAAGCACCACGAAAGCGATCCAAAAGCATAAAGAAAGGGGTAACAGTAACAGTTTTTTTAGTAGAAAAATGGCTCCAATTAGCATCTCAACTTCCTTTGATATGAAAAGATAGATGACATATATGGACATTATAGTACTGTACATGAAAAAAGTAGGACCAATATGTTGTCATGGACAACAGTGGAATATTTAGTGTAATGGTCAATATACAAAAATATTTCACCACTCAGGTCTGTGATTGACCAATCAGAATCAACTATTCTAGAGAGCAATGTAATAAGAAAAGATACACAACCAATACACTTAAACTACTTCAATTATCTAAACTACTGGACTACAGAAAAAAAGGCTGCAATGATCTGCAGCAATGTGAATGTAAACACTTTAATCCATGCAAAGCCTGATTTTGTGTACCGTTGTTTTATGAAATATGTCAGATTGCAATTTTAAAGTATGTGTTGCTTTCTTACCATTGCCACAAGACATAAATTAGTGTAAAATGTCTTCCTTATTTGTCTCTTTCAGGAATATAGCTGAGCAAGTTAATAAACATTGCAACATTCCATAAAAAATAAGAATGGCCAACTTCAAATTGGCAAATTTTGATTTCATGGTGATTTTAAACTTTAAGGTTTGTTACCACAATAGTAATGCATGAATGCATGTACAAAAGCACTACATACTTGCAAAAGATATGTGCAGCTGTATGGGTATGCACATTATGTCTATGGTACTAAAATGTTCTGAACGTTACCTGGCTACATGGTTAATGACAGGCGAGAAGTTGGTAGGTCCGTAGAGCTGGACGGACTTTAGACTCTGGTAATATGCCTCCATGACTCCATCAATGCCATTGCAATATGGATTCTGAGGGTTTCCATTCTGTAGGAAGATAGGAAAAATTTATTTTGTTTGTTGCTTTTACTGCACAGTGCATGCAGTTTTAAATAAGGAGACAAACAGTGAGTACCAAACAAACTTAAGCTTTTAATCCACTGCCTGCAACCGTATTCACATGTGTCCAATCACTGCCGATACCCACCAATCTCTTGCCGTAGTACCGTAAATTAGTGTCACAAATATTCAGTGCTTACGTGAATATTACATCTCCTTTCTTTTAAAGAACAAATAAAACAAAAACAAATTGTCACTGCAGTGTACATATATACAGTATATATATATATATATATATATATATATATATATATATATACTTGAACCACTGAAACATTACTCTAGCATAAACACAGAGGATGCTGCATTTCAAAACATTTCAACACATATGACACTTATAGCACACGTAGTACACTATACAACAAAATTTGTGAACAAAGTGTCCATTCTTCTCAGACCGCCCATACCAGATTCTAGATTCCATTCTCTACTTCAGCAGGTCCCTGAAGCATGGCCGAGGCATTGATGTTTTGTTCTTCCTCCTTAATGTTTGCAGAAATGCAGGGCTCCACGGGCTCCTCTTTTGTGCTGAGAAGGTGACGCCAGTTTCTGCAATATACCTGGCCATCTGAAGTGCGAACATGATAGGATCTTTCTGTATTGGCAGGATGAACAACAACAGCGGGCTTCCAGAGGCCGTGCTCTTGTATGTGAACAGATTGTCCAGTGTGAAGCTGTGACAATGGACGAGCTGAGCGATCATAATACTTTTTCTGATGCTGCTGCTGCTTTACCCTTTTGGAGTGTGCCTCTGTGAAACTGACAATTTCAGGTAGGAGCTGCTTGTTAGTGGTTGGCAGTATGGATCGCAGTCTGCAACCCACGAGGAGCTGTGCAGGCGACTTGAAGTTGTCAACAGGTGTAGTCCTATACTCTAACAGGCTGTCCATCCTGTCCATCTTGGCTTTTGTCAAGATCAATTTTGCGATCTGCACAGTCTTCTCAGCCAAACCATTGCTCTGTGGGTAATGGGGGCTAGAGGTGGTGTGTGCAAAGCCTCATGTCTTTGCAAAGTCTTCAAACTCCTTGCCTCGATATTGTGGACCATTGTCGGAGACAAATTTCTCTGGGATGCCATGTCTCGCGAAAATGACTTTGAGTTTGCTGATGACAGTGGCAGCCGTGGTGGTGCTGAGATTGTCCAATTCAAAGAAACGGCTATAGTAGTCTACTGTAACCATGTATTCTTCAGAATCAGAATCAGAATGAGCTTTATTGCCAGGTATGTTTACACATACGAGGAATTTGTTTTCGTGACAGAAGCTTCCACAGTGTAACAGAATGACAGTGACACCCTTCGTGGTTCCAGGTAAAGAGGTCTGAAGCTATCACCTGCCATGGTCTGGTTGGTATTTTGCAAGGAATCATGGGCTCCTTAGTGTTTGAACGACGTTGCTCCAGGCAAGTATCGCATCTTTCGACCATGCGTTCTATTTGTTTACTCGTTCCTGGCCAGAATAACACATATCGTGCTCTTTGCTTCGACTTCTCTATGCCCATGTGACCGGCGTGAATTCGTGTGAGCATATTTTTTCTGAGTGAGGTGGGTATGACTATTTTCTCACCTTTGAGAATGATTCCGGTGGTCAATGAAAGTTCGTCTCGGAAGTTCCAGAAATTACTGATGTCTGCGGGGTATTTCTTCCTCTCTCCAGGCCATCCATCCAGAATCACCTGTCTGAGCTGGACGAGCTGGCTGTCTGATTCGGTCTCGGCACAGATTTGTTTCAGCACTGACTGGTAAGCTTTTGTATACCATGTGAACCTGCATGTCCATTCCTTCGCTGAGATTGTCGTGCTCGGTCTCTATGGACTTTCTAGAGAGGGTGTCCGCCACTGGAATCTCCTTTCCTGGCCGGTGTGTGATGGTGATGTCATATTCCTGGAGTTGAAGAATTACTCTTTGAAGTCGCGGCGGAGCTGCGGCTAGAGGTTTTTTCATCACTGATTCAAGCGGCTTGTGATCATACTCCACTATGACTTCACGGCCATACACATACTGATGAAAGCGCTTGCACCTGAATAAGACTACGCTTCTCTATTTGAGCGTAGCTAACTTCACATTCAGTCAGTGACCTTGAGGCATAGCTGAGCGGCCCAGAGGCCATATTGGTTTTGGGCTTAAAAATAGGCTGATATTTCCAAAGAGTTTTCTAGAGAATATAGGAATCTGTCAAGTGCCTATCTCTAAAAACCTGTTCTGAAATTGAAAGCTTTGTGTATTGTTCTGTCTGGAGACAAACACCAGCGAAGAGAACATTCAGAAGCAGATATCAAACAATTGCGTCCTCACAAACTGGATATCCTGTGACTACAGCATAAAGCTAACTCTGCAGGACAGGTGTTTTAAAAACTACTTACCAGGGCAAACTCATGGGATATTCTCCCATCAGGAGGAAGCTTGGCTCCGAAGCCCAGTGCAGGGAACATCTTGTCACTGTCATAGTCCTGTATGATCTCCCCCACGGCTTTGAGCGCCATGGCGTAGGCGTTGAGCTGATAGGGATTCATGTAATGGAGGGAAGTGGGCTGGGCTGGGTTGCCTGGGAACCGTATGAAAGAAAATGTGTACTTTTAGTGCAGCTTAACCATTTGACAGGAAAAGTATTCTAATTGAATTGTCAACATTGTTTAAAGTACATACTGTACATATTCATGGCTACACTGTTGAATAGTATAATACATTATAACTCATGACAACATAATGTGACACATTAAATATGGTCTTATTTTATAATGTATTTCAATGCATAATACTCTTTAACAGTATAACTATGGATATAACTAATATAATGTAACAATTTTTACAGTTATTTATGACTAATTATAAGATACATTCATTATGAAGTTACTAGATTGTTTGATGAATGTAATTTTCTCTACTGTTGATATATTTTCCCCTCAATAAACTCTTAAGTACTACTTGTTGATTATAAGGTAGTTGTAGTAGTAATGTTTAGGTATGGTGTAGGGTTATAGAAATATATACATATAAAATTTTAAGTTTGTAGCTCTTTACTCTTTGTGTACACTGAGAGGCTGATATTATGAATCTAGAAGAAAAAAAATAAAGCTAGTGATGTATAAAAATAGATTTGCCAGGATGGCCCTGTAATGCAGTTGGTTTTGAGGTATTTCCTTTGAATCTGCAAATGAATGTAAAAGGCAGGCCTCTCAGTATAATCACACAGATCAGAGCTCTTTATCACATTAAACCTCACTCATTATGATAGAGGGCGGCTATTACTAGCCCTTTTTCATGCCTCATCTGCATACATTTCAATAATTCCATCAGCCTTCTGATGGAGATGGCACTCACCGTTAGAAGCTGTGAAATCAATCGCCACTGTGAAATTAATTTGAGTCCTGCACAACAAAGAGACAGAAAAAAAGGTAATGGTTATTTCAGTCATACTTCAATCTTGTGAACATTAAGATGCTCCAGGTGTAATAAAAGCACATTATTAAAAAGCAAACATGGTAATAAATGCAAACTCTTTAGGAGAGAATAAGGAAATGGATAAATCGAGATATCATTGAAAAGGATTCTTAAATGTCAGTGTAAAAAATACCATAAAATCATAAAAATAACACAAAAATAATATAAAGGTCATGTTCTGATTTACAAGACATTTGTGTGCATAAACAATATTTGCTCGTGTTGTATATGTTTTGTTGTTAGCTCAACATGCTAACATTACACTAATGTGATACTGAGTGTCACATGAGGAACCGGGTGTTCCAAATCACTCCCTTTTGAGGTTCCATATCATTTAGGATGCTACATTACAAGGTACCCAGATAGCAAGAACTATATGGCTGATAGCTGTCACATCTATGTCTATTTTATCAGGAAATTCAAACGATATATGCCGTTTCGAGGCTCTCTGATGTGGTGTGACAGATCGCAAGTACAAGCGGCAGTGCGGAGAGCGAGTGAATGTGATCATCCCTTTCTCTTTTCTATAGTTATAACACGAAATAAACATGAATGAACATCTCATGTCTCACGTAATCTCTCAATCAGTTTTTTTCAACTCAATAAAACAGCTTGTTATCAATGTCACGAAGCAGCATTACCTTTACCTTAAGCAAGTCATTCAGTGTCCACAGCTCGTTACTTTGCTAGAAAAATGAACTCTGGAGAAATATTTGCACTATATTAGCCAACATATTCATTATATATTTTTTACTTAATCTGTTAGTGATGTCTTAATTTGTGTATGCTTAATTAGTGTACATTTTAAATCTGCCATGAAAACAAAGTAGAAACATAATTTTATAGTTATATTTAGACATTACGTAAAAACTGCCTATGTGCATTTTACATGCCAGTATTTCTGTAGAATTTTCTGTGCCAATATATACAAAATATGAGCACCAATGTGAATTGTTTACTTCTATATATTCAGCATAGATGTTTGAATGAAGTTATCATCAAAATAGTAATAATAAAATTGTAATAACTGAATTTATTTAAATACAGAGCCACAATTTGTTTAGTAAACCACTGTTTAATAAAAAATAAAAAAGCACTTTTATGTTCAGTTTTCTCCTCCTGCTGTACCAAAAATGTATCAAACCCTAACTTCAAAACCAAGGAACTGAATCGTTATTTTTGTGTACCACCCCTAATGTTTTCATTATTATGTATAATATTAAGTAGTATGTCTAAAAATAGCATGTTTTTAGAGTAGCTAATGTTTTGTTCATTTAAAAATGGCTACACAGCAGCATTCATGTCTTGGGTGGTAGAAAAAGAGAATGTGTGCAGTGTTGATTTGCAGTCATTAATAATATGTGCTTGTCTTAATATTCAAATAATATCTAATATATGATACTAATTATGGAACACTAATGTTCTTTTTTTTCTCTCCTTTTAAGTGTACTCTCAGCAGCGTACGTACATGCATGGAACATACACCGAAAATTCAAATGCCTAGAAGAACGGATTAAAAAAAGTGACAGACTGACTGTGATTGAGAAAGACTGGCGAGATTTACTAAAACAAAGTATCAATAATTGTACATTTATTCACTCATTTGACATTCACAACATAGCACACTTCTGTTATCTTATGTATTGTACTTCTGCTATTAAAATTCTATTATATATAAAAAAAGACTGTGAATCAATTTTTGTTCCAGTTCTGGGCCGGCAAACACATAGTAATCTGGGCCACACTTTAGCTGCTGATTTGGGCCAGAAATGAGCCAAAGGAAATTTGTTGACTGGGTAGATGCCTATGTAAGCAGTAGACTAGAAGAGTATAAAACAGAGTGAATTTTATGAGGTGTACTCTGAGTCTAAGACATATTATGGTGCTTTTCTAGGATATTAAAGGCATCAGAAATGAATGATTGTTATTTATGCATGTGTGTTTTTCTCTTATTTGTGCTTGTAACATTGCATCAGGAGAATAGATAAGCAGGATACAGGATGGGTCTGTGTTTGCTGGGACATTGAGCCAAGCTAACTAATGCCGTAAGTACAGATCTGTCTCCTCTCATTAGACTGCTCTCATTACTGAGCTTACAGCTGCAGTCACACACGCACATCCCCAAACCAGAAATACACTCTTAAAATGTGTGCGCAAGTGTGTGTATGGTCCTGTCCCCTGATCATTAAATATCCCAGCATATCTAAAACTAACCAAAAACAACATTATTTTCATAAACAGCAACAAAAATAGTCAAGTAAACATGAAGCACCCAGACTGGAAGGCACACTGTTGCCTATAGTAGGCACACTGTTAACTTAACACCATGCTAACACCAAAGCCCAATTGGAATCAGTTGTTGTTATCACACTCTCTCTCTCACACACACACACACACACACACACACAAAAGATATTATGAAGAATATTTCAACTGTTATTCATTCATTCATTCATTCCATACAGCAAAAGTCAGTGGGGTCCAAAACAATAATGACCCTCAACTATCAAATCAGTCACACATGAGGGCACATAACTGGTTAGGATGTTGCCTTAAAAGGTAGCTGCTAATGTAGACATTGGAAAGTGATATCCTAGTGATTTCACAGATGAGAAGGAGCATGAGACAGCTGAGTAAAGATATCCTACCATTACTCACATTCAGTTGAGACTGAGCGAGTCATACCATCTGTTAGGATAATGCTTACAGCTCTCAGAAAACATGTTTGTGACACACCACACACCCAGTGTGTCACACAGGCACATTAGTTGTTGCATAAAATTTTCATTTTCATAATTATTCCTGTTTTCATGGGATTTTGACTGGTTGGCTAAAGTCTGAATTCATGCTTTCATCCATACGTTTATTCTGTTTTCATTAATTTATGCATTCATACATTCATTTATAATGTCCAAATTAAATGGACAAAACTCACACTCCAGAGACCAACAAAATAACCAGTTCAATGAAAAAATGACATTTTCTGTGTGGATTTTATTTCATAGATCAAGCAATCATGTAACAGACTCTACCATAACTATTAAACATATGTAGTTGGCCATTTGACTTCTAAAAATGTCCACAGTTATGCAAGTAGGTTAGGTTGAAGAAAAGAAGTCTTAGTAATCTTGGAAGTAGGAAATGTTTAGGTATGATATCCAAGGTTCATCACAATCTAACAGCTGCAAAAAGAGATATTCAATTACTACACATGCAATCATCTGCTATCACTGTCTGATAAGGTTTGCAAATGGGGAACTTTCATGTGCATGTTTGTTTATGTGTTCTTTACATAATATAACCTGAAAAATGTGTAGTTTCCTACTTATAACTTACAAGAAAGTGCACTCAAATAAAAGGCCATCACAAACAAAAAATAAGCTATGATTTGAGGTGAGGGGAATGTTGGCAGTACAACAAAATTGAGCTTCAATTTTATGCAAAAGCAAAGCAATGGCAGTGGAAATAGTGAAGCTCACATGATCTTCCACCAAAATGGAACCCCTACAAAAAACCAACAGCAGCACAACTCGGCAATCTTTAGCAATTCAATCTCTGTTACTTACGCAACTTGAAATTTGAATGATTCCTGGATGCTTCTTTTGTCATGGTACAAAAAGGGCAACAAAGGCATCAGGCATGCATAGCTTATAATTCACTTAATATACTGTACATATAAATTTATTGTGCTAGTCAAGAAAAGGTTTTTCTTTTTATGTGTAATGTTTGAGGCTAGTTATCCAAGCCAGGTGAGGCTAGTCAACCAATACCATATATAATTGAAGGGTTGACAGAAGCAGAATTCTGTCGGAAACACTGGACTAATGTGTACAGCTTGACAAAAGATCATTCAGGCCACTGGGACCATTGCAGGCCACAATCTTGATTGATTCTGGCATGAACTGAAAGCTAGTGAGGGCACTTGAGCAGAGGTGAACATGACTGTATTTTCCAGAGGTTTCAAACAAACTGAACAGCTATATCCTTGGTGCACTCGAGGGGACATCTGACAGTAGTCTACTTGTGAAATGACTAGAACTTAAACAAGGAGCTGAGTGGAATTGGGTTCCAGGAAGGGCCAGATTTTGCTTATGTTATGGTGAATGATGGTGAATGATGAACACAAATGGTCTTCTAGGGTGACTTCAACAATTTAACACACCTTTGGGTGACAGGTTTTGGCTGGAAGGAAGAGGAAGTCAGTTTTTTTTTAAGACTGTGCATGAGGTGATGAGTAGTCCTCAAGGTCTCTATGTCAGAGAGGATGTACTGTTCTCTAAAAAAACAGACGTACAGTGGGTATAGAAAATAATCACCCCACTTTTAAAATAATCACATTTTGTTGCTTTGCAGTCTGAATTGAAGATGGACACGGTTTTTTTCAGCTGTATTTACTCAGTGCAACGTATAGCATCCGAGTGAAAGATATAACACTGACATTTCAGAAAAAAATAAAAAACAGAAAAAGGATCACCCCTTATATCTTTCACTTGGATGCTATAAGGTACACTGAGTAAATACAGCTGGGTAAAACAAAAACTGTGTCCATCTTCATTTCAGGCTGCAGAGCAACAAAATGTGATGATTTTAAAGGGGGGAGATTCTTTTCTATACCCACTGTAGATAAAAAAAGCATGATGAAATGTACACCTGCATGTGATCAGCAAAGCAGCGAGAAGAAAATACATGCTACTAGATGACAGTGCAGAGTGATTTAATTGTAGCAACAGAAAAGAAAGAGCCCCAACACTGAGCCCTGTGGGACACCAGCTCTTTCCTGCTCTTGGAGATCTAGATTTCTGCAGGGTTTAGATCCAACTCCAATCAAACACACCTGAACCAGCTAATCAAGGTTTTGGGGTTCATTAAAAATTACAGACAGGTATGTTAAAGCAGGGTTCAGAAGGAAGGTAGATCTCACAGAGCAGGAATGAACAGCCCTTGTGTAGGTACTTGATGAAGAGGACAAATTAAATGAAGCCTGTGCGACAGGCTTTTAATGTTTGATTGATATGTATTCATTACTAGTTAAACAGTTACAGACTGAGCAGCCTTAATCGCTGTATAACACATTCTCTTGTGGCTCCTGGCATAGTCCTGTCAGTCTAGACTAAAAATTGAGCCCTAAAGTTTCTCAAAAGAGTGCTCTAAAATCAAACATCAAAACCTACCAAAAAGGCCTGTTAATTGGCAAAACAGATCTGCAAATATTTTTGGTTTCTCTCAAATAGACACCAGACTCGCACAGAACCTCATTTTTCATTCTGCTGTAACCCCCTGGGATTTCTTGTCCCAATTTGTTTCCCAAAACGAGCTGAAAAACAGTCTGTAGCTATGCGAGTCGTACCTGACTATAGCAGAATTCATAGCAGAATCAAATGTCCAAAGAAGAAAAGCATCCATCAGAAGGTTAAAGGGGAAAAGATCATAGCCATGCACTACATGTATTCCATCCAATAGGGGATGACAGTTTCATAACTGAGAGCTTTGTGGTAGCGGCAACCTTTTGTGGTACCTGCAATCTAAGTGTTTGTAATGGGGGTGGTTTCTGTAAATGCAGGTGTGAAACTCAGCGTCTGAGAAAATGAGGGTTAGAAGATGAGGGCTGCCTCTGCCACAGATGGGACTCAGATGTTCAGAGAATATCCGCAAGAATATCAGGTTTCATTATTTAATTAAATCCCAAAGACACCTGCTTCTAGGATTGTGGGTAAAGCAGAATGGTATTGGTGTGAGTAAGAGAAAATGAAATAAAGTCTTATTGAGATCAGCCACTTCATATACTGCATATTTAAAATGTATCCATGATATACAATGTAATCATGCAATCACAGTACAGTGGCAGACCAGCTCACTCATTTCAACAGTTCAGTACAATTTTTTTTATAAAAACTATTTTCTGTCACAAAAATTATTATTATTATTAGAAAACATTGTCAGAGATATGAATTTTGAATTACTGGCCTGACCATGCCAGGAAATAAAAAAAATTGAGCCCTGACAGAGATTGATTAAAGTCAACAAAAGCCATCACACTGGGACAGCTTTCCATTGGTGTGATAGAATGATTAATACAAGTTGAGATTTTGTTCTTTTCCCATGGTCTCTGGAAGGCTGATGAAGTTCTCTGTATGCATGAGCCTGTGGCTGGAGAAATGTCTTGTGACATAAGCATGGGAGACGACAGATGTTGTTGACTGGAGGTGAGAGGACATTGTCCATATGGGGATGAGTGACTTCAGGGGAATGAAGCAATTTAGTCAATACAGCATTACTTTACTACAATATACATTCTACAAGCCACATATGCAGGATATGTCCACTTATATCCATCATAATTTATTTCCTTTGTCAATTATATTGAAAAATATAAGCACTAGTTTCCCATATATGAAAATGTATTATGTAATATAGCACATTATTATGAACTACTTTACTTCTAAGATCGATACTATTAGAGATAAAATTGTAACCATGCAGCCGTCAGCTATAGTATCGCATCAGATAGCTTGCTATAGATCGCCTGAGGAACAATATTTTGCAGTATATTCCCATATATTTTTGTTTCGTAAGTGCTCTTGCTCTTCATTCACCTCCTATATTATGGTTAGGTAAGTCCTATTTAGTTGCATATGAGAGCTAATTAGCTGTTATGCTAAGAGACGGAACACTAATGGCAGTAACACTGAATCCATTCTGCCAGTTGAAATCCCAATAGATCACAACAGATTAAAGCAAATAAGGGCAGAGCTAACATGCAACAGCATAACATTGTTAATGAAATCATGAAACTCTGGATCTTCTCCCTATAATGTATAAAGACAGCTAGTGTGAGTGTAAGTGTGACTCAGTCCAGGGTGCAAAATCCTCCTCCAAACACACAAACATGGCTGACAACAGCTGTCCTTTGAGAGAAATCAACACACAAAGCTGTAATTTACGACTGCAGATGCTTGCAGAGTTCTTCTCATTTAGGGCTCCCTAATACCAATTAACTGATTGGATTGTTCTTCATCACAATGGCTGTCTCTCTAGAGCGCTGTGCTCTTCATCTCCTGCAGCTAATGAGGTGCACTCAACACTAGTGTCAATCACTACTCAGGGACGCCACAGAAAGACAGATGACAGAGAGATGGCGATGAGAGAGATAAGAGGAGAGAAGAGTGAGAAGATAAGGGGAGAAACACTAGCTGTTTATCACAGTAAAGCATTCAGTAATAGCAGCTCAAATAAGTGTCAATTAAATGAAAACAGAGTTAGCAGGGAATATAATATAATATAAAAATATGAAATATGACACTTTTGATGATTGAAATATTTTCTAGGTGGATTTGAAATGTTGTAAATAAATGATTGTTTCATTTAATAAATGTAATTTAAATTAACATTTTAATTACATTTTTAATTTAATGTTCATTTTAAATGTAATATTTAATAAATCAGAGCTTTGATGTGGATTGTACTGTAATTGGTCAAAAACATCAATAACTCAAGAATTCAGATGACTTAAGAATTCTTAAGAATTCAGTTGATATACAGTACAATAACAGGTGTATATGCATTCTGTATGACCAAACGGTCATTTTGCAAACTTTCGTTCCTCTGCATCATGAGTCTCCGGAACAAGAGAGCCTTCAGCCTTTTATGTCTGGTTTGTGCTTTGGTATTGATGTTCCCATAGCGTCAACGCCATGACGCAGCGTCGAAGTTCCACTTCGAAAGGGAATGTCTCAGGTTACGTACAGTATGTAACCCAGTTCTCTGAGAAAGGAACGAGATGCTGTGTCTCATTGCCATGCCTAGGCTATGCCTGTGTGCCTCCTTCTGGCAAGTAGAATTTGATGAGATGCATTTCAGGCTTCTGTTTATAGCCTTGGCCATGCACTACATTGCATCACCATGTCATTACGTGTCTGCTTAAGACACCGGCTCAATCTGTTCTGATAGCGTCAATGTAGAACGACTGTTCTGATAGCGTCAACGCAATTACGCAGCTTCTTGTTCCCTTCTCAGGGAACCGGGTTACATACGTAACCTGATATGTTTTTACTATTATATTGGAGAGCCGAAATTTTTTTTTTTACTGTAACTTATGTACCTAACTACAACTTCTCTAACTATCTTTAAATCTTTGTCTTGAGCAAGTACGTACCAACTTTTGCTCCAAGCCGTTAAGCATGCTCATAGTTAGTTGGAGTATTTTGCTGTGGGCTACAGCACAAACACTGTCATGCAGAATTACACTAACAGTGTTTCATACTGCAACAGCCAACAGGTGCAGAGAAGCTTTTATCACGGCAGAGGAAAAATGTGCATAAATAGGGAAACTGAAAATGTGGTTGCCATTACGTAATGTGAGCGAGTTCTCGACAAAATCCATTTACAGCCCTACACAACTTTCCACTTTAGCCATTCACACAATGACGTGCACTGAAAAACAGCTGCCATTACTGCCAAGAAACATTGCTTTGGAGTTGTCTCCTGAAAAATAACACCACAAATAGTGCACTTGCATGTGCATGTCTTTCTATTTGCTGTACATGTTTAAAGGAATAGTTCAGCAAAAAATGATAATTCTGCTATTGTTCATTCTTACATGTTGTTATTTTTGTCCATGAAACGCAAAATTAGAATCTTCAAACAGCTGTGACCATGGCTATAAAAGCTCCAGAAGCAACACAAAAGAATCATAAAAGTAGCTCATACACTAAGTATAATGACGATAATGAGACATACAAATGACAAAACCACATTAAACCAACATCAATACAAAAAGTAAGAACTTGACACATGTGCTTTACACTAGATGTTCAACTCCTTTTAAAAGTGTTTCAGCTTTGTCTTCCTTTGTTGACACTCTTATACATCATTGACCTTTAAATCACTAGTGTCATTATTTAATATCTCCAATCCTGAATCGAAAACAAGTGCACTAATGGGTTATTCATTCCATGATTTATACTTTCTAATTGGATTATATCAATAAATGATGAGCTGGACATTCCAGTACTGTTACAGGAAGTGTGAGAGACACATGCAGACTGTACCCTCCAGGAGTGGACAAATTCAGCTCGAGTGCACTGACCTTTCACCAAAACATCTCAGAATAAAAGGAAGGAGTAGCCATTAAAACAGACGTCTGGCGGTGCGGTGTCAGAGCAGAGGTGACCGCAGCCTCCCTCTTGTCACCATAATGAAAAGCATTGCCCAATGTAGGTGTGCGATCTGCCATGCATGGATGCACCCTGCCTACCCCTCGCATTTAATCGCACATACATAGCAAACACCTGAGCTAAGATTAGCAACCCAGCCTCAACTATTATCTGCCATGAATGGATTTGGTCACTCATGGTGTTTGTATGAAGTCTGTCATCTGTACTGCCAGTGTAATTACCTAGAAGCCCTCAAAACGGACATTAAGAATCTGTCGAGACCTGCTGTTGAGGACGAAGAATGCGTTGGTGGTGGTTTGGGATCACAGCTACAGCTGTGTTGTCACCACTGGTAATGTGAGAATTTAAATTTGCTTTCCACAGACACAGGTGTTGTCTGTTGGGCTTTCCACCTCAGAAGCTGATGGTAAAGAAAGAGAAGTGTGTGCGAATGAGCAAAACATCACTTACCCGCCTTTGATGTAATCCAGGAAGGTGACTTCAATATCAACGAGAAATGACAGCAGTGTCACCTGAAAACATGAAGTCAGAAAACCCCATGATGATTCTGTGTGTTGTCATGTCGCTATATCAACGTTTCACGGAATCTTCTAAGTATAACTGATTCTGATTTAAGTAAAGAAAGAACGTCTCGGTTACGTATGTAACCCTCGTTCCCTGAAGGAGGGAATGGAGACGTCACTTTGAAAATGTACCTTGTCAAGCTACAAGCTAGCCAAAACTCAAAGTACAGTATTACAGTATTTATGCTAAATTTACTCTACTACTGGAATGGTAAATTAGTGTTAGATTAGTATTATGCTATAATTTTAGGTCACATTTTTCTGACTGGCAGGTCAACAGTTTTACTAGCTATTGCCGTCCTTGACATGGGGCGAGATTATCTATAGTAAGCGCAATGCACATTCATAAGACCAAAACAGATTTTCATTTTATCTTGAGTTTACATTTTATTTCCAGCATTAAAAGCAGCCAAGTAGAATGTGCATGAAATTATGAGTGATCCTGGACTAAGATGGAACGAAGATAATACAAATTTGTGGGGATAGATGGCTGAAACGTGTTCAAGCTGTTTGACAGCATATCTTAAACCTCATGAGGACTGTAAATTGCATAAATAAATTTGTAGTCAACAAAGGCCAATTTACACTGCAAAGGTGCCATTATGCTTCTGAAGTGGCATTTAGGTGTTTTCACACAGATTATTTAATGTTGTTGTTATATACAGTATATATATATATATATATATATAGTAACAATGTTACTTTTAGTTCCTCTCCAACAATACAGCAAACTAAATCAACAAAAACAAAATCATACACTAGCAAGAATGTAGCATGAAAAATGTTTGCTTACAGTTCCAGAGTTGAGATATTTTTTCTTCTTGCCTTTCTTCTTCGGGTTTATGACCTGTGCAGAAAAAAAAATTAGTGATTATAATCACTTATGGGATAATGGAATTTGTATAAGACCGAATAAATGCTACATAATTGAGATGCATGCACTGTATGACATTACACAACACCCCATCTACACTCAGCAGTTAAATTTAAGCAATTTTTTGAAATTTTTGTAGAAATTGCATTTCTTAATGTGTTGACATTAGCCTTAAAATATAATTTTATTTCCTTTTAGCCTCTTTTAATACTGTGCAACAAACAACTGTTAGAAATGTAATAAGAATTAAGCAACAATTAAGGTAAGAAATTGCTTGACGCTTTCTACAAATGCAATTCAATTTTAAAATGAGTTATTAATGTACAGTTTTACTGACATTTAACCAGCATTTTAAACATGAACTAAATAAACAATTCTAAAATGTCTATGTAATTGTCATTTTAAAAAAGTAATTCATCCAGTTACATTTTTAGTTTTGAATTAATAAACTCTAAGTCCTCCATACCACTAGACCACCTTAGCAGTGGAAAACCTTGTTATCTTATCTCACTAGTGGAATCATTACGTGAAATTGGAACCAGAATTGTTAAATTCATCGCTCCATTCCAATCTCTACTGAGACATAAATGAGTGTCCGCATGAGTGTATTTGTGTGTGCAAGAAAAGAAGAAAGAAGGAGAAAAAAAGAGAAAGAAAACTAGAGAAATACAGTACATAGGAGAAAGAGAGAGGTTAGAGAAATGTGTTTGACAATTATGAGATCAAACACAACAAAAGACTGGGATTACAGTGATGATTATTCACATATGGAAAAGCGTGAGCCACATATATAAAAATAATATAAAATATGATCTCTGTCCCTCCCACTCACTAATGCTGAATGAGTTATGAACAAATGCAGTCTGCCAACTGCCAACTTCTCTTTAGATCTGTGACTCTAAATCCTCACATTGTTGAGTTTTTTTTCTTAAATGACAGTCTATCTATCTATCTATCTATCTATCTATCATAATTTCAGTGTGATCTTCAACATTTTAGTTGCACATTACATCTTGGATTGTTTTGCACAATGTAATTGTTATTAAAGGATGGGCAGTTTATGGGACAAATTATATAAACTAAATTTGAGTAAATGCAACAGTGTGCTGTAAGATGGTGTTTACAGTACATCGAGACAATAAAGATAAAGCAGCAATATATGTATATGTTGTGTATCTATGAAATAATTATCTGTTTACATTCTGTTTACATTCTGAAATACTGGTCAAAAGTCCTGCTCTAAATAAAAATATATTAAACTTCATATATTTTATTCTTAACTCTTATTGTGCTAGCTAGCTAGCTAGCTAAATAAATAAATAAAAAGACTCCTTGACTAACATTACAAGTGCTCTAGACCTGGTCTGTCATATGCAGGCCAACTGAACATCTACTTAAGTGGGAAAATATGTTAAATGTCAAAATCATTTGTGCTGATAAATGTCAAAATCAGTTGTGTTGAATAATTCAGATATATACTTGTACACTAAGATCTGTTGTTTTTACGTGTTTCTTTAAGTTTTTTTTATTTTATTTTTTTAAGTTCTTTTCTGGTACCCACACACTGAGAGCTGTAATGTGTGGAATTTAGTAGAGCATTTATAATTGACCGTATAGGTTGTCTGGCAGTTCATGATTTTCTCACTTATTAATTCAAAATTCGCAGCCTACTTGAATAATAGAAGTAATATATACTGCATGCTACAGTATATTTGTTATACTGTGTGTGAAATACCATGTTAATGAGCTCTGAAAATGAATAAAATATAGATTAATAAAATTAATAAAATAAGATTACCTCATACACGTTAAATTGTGACTGGCCTCTTGACAGTTCTCTGTAGCTTGTGCTGAATTCTCCAATGAAGTCATGACTGTAAACACACACATATACACAGAATTTTTTTTTAACCATCACGTGTCCCTTTAGGGACTCAGTGGAATTGATTTTCTGCATGTGTGGATTCAATACTGAGAAAGAAACATATACTCATGTTGCCTTATGAATTGAGTTTTGAAACACAAAGGTGTGTGTTTTGGGCTTTTGCATCTATATGTGGCATCTTTTCATACATGTTTCGACCAGAAGAATAAATAATTAATAATAAATAAATGATAGTAAATTATTGGACTGTATTTGTTATTTGACTTTTTTTCAGGTTGCAAACACCAATACACTCAAACTAACAAACAAACAAACAAAAAAGTACTTGAAATGCTGGACAATTTGATCATAAGAGCATTTCATTCTCATTTCATGCTCATTTACTGTGTCCCTGTGAGAAGACTTTAGCTATCAGTATATTACATTACAAATTAATGGATGTGTCAGGTGTGTATATTAAGCTTCAAGTGACTGTTTACAGTTCATTACCCGCCATCCCGATCCCAGTCATACACTTCAACCTTGATCGTTCTGTTTAGAGAGAGAGAGAGAGAGAAGCAGCATTATACATTGTGCCTTTGTGTGAATTTCTTTAAAAATGAATTTGAATACAGCTCCAGACAATATCACACATCTTGTATGTTGAGAATGATAAGAAAAAATGTATCTGTCCATTCTGAACATTTTCCCCTTTTCACTGCAATTCTATCAGATTTTTGTCATTGTTGTTTTTTATTGTCTGCCAGATGAAATTGTAATTCTGATCACTAACGAAAAGTAACAGCACATCTCTCTATGACAAGCCACACAATTTAATGTATTATTGTGATGCCTTTTTGTATTATTGTATTATGCATCATTTATGAATAATTAATTCCATAGCACAAACACTGCATGCCAAAGTTTAAAACTGAACAACAATAATAGTGATGTGCATGCATTAGAAATCATTTCTAATAAACTGTTCTGAATTAATATAGTTCATTAGCCTAAAGCTGTGTTCGTGTCATGTTGGAATTACTATATTCATGAGATGACCACGCTGAGATACTACAGAGCTGTTCATGTCGTTGGACTAAGAAATTATTTGTTTCCATGGTAATAATCATTACACCAAAAAATAATATGTGTACGGCCTTATAGTTGATGACAGGAAAATACTTAAAATGCTGCACTGATTAACCTCTTTATTCTTTTTTCAAACCTTGAAGAACAAAGAAACAACACCAGGTGTCATGGGCTATAATAAAATCACAGGTACCTTCTTCAGATGCTTATGTGAAAAGCTGAAACTTTCATAAAATTCAGTTTCCTCTTTTTTTTTTTTGTAATTATAACAACTATAATAATTAGAGTCAATTTGATCATTCCAATATGACACAACTCCAGGCTGCTGGTTGAGATTCTCAGAGTACTGATGCGGCATGCAATATGGAATTCAAATGATGCTTGATTATAGTTGTGCATTTTATATTTTTGAACATTTGAACATGGGCGATCAGATTTTAGAGCCAGAACTACCCTTTTCAAAACTGGGATTATAACTACAATCTCTCTAAAATCAGTTTACTTTTCCTTCCATGGCACTTTCTTTTTAGAGAGGAAAATTAAAAAATATTTCATACACTAGGGTTAGAGGGCCGGATTAGTGCATTTTGACAGAAAATAATTACAACTCCTGCTGTCCGTGGCGTGACAGCCGAGTGATAAGTTTGCACAGTTCAAATAGGACAGCTCTGTCAATTACATGGAGCCTTAACGCAACACATGCTAACAACAACCCAATCCCCACAGCATCCCTTAGCACCCATTCTCAGTGTTATCAACAGCGAGACACTCCGTGCTTCTTTATTAGAGCGTGTGTGCTGGCTTATCTCGCGTCCCAGACTCCTCCGGACGCCCAGCGCTCTTCCAATCCGTCTGTCTGTCTCTCTCTTTCGTTTCCCACATGTTCAATCAGAGATAAAGCTGAGGCATTGTGTGGGAGAGTGCGTTATAGTACCGATCGATGCTCATCAGTGAGTGCCGCTACGAGGAAGCTTCCCGCTTTATCGCCACACAGCAAGAGCCCTGTTTGAGCTACTCATGATGGAGGCTTCTGGGATACCATGTAGCGGTTGGGATTCTCTTCTATGTTGTCTCGTGTCTCTTAATATTATTTTTAACTGTAAAATAATTTCTCCTATCCCAACATAATATGCAGATATTACCATAAGCAAAACATTCAAAAGTAGATTTTTTTTTCTATGTTTACATCTGTTTTTATTTTTAATTTATTTATTGTTTGACCAATGTAGATGGGTGAATCACTATACTGTATACTGTATTCACTGTTTATGTATGTGTTCTTATGCTTTACCAATGTAAAAAAATAAAATAAAATCTGTAGTGGACATTATGGTTTAATTTACAATTAAATTATAATTTATTGATTATGTATGTCATCCTTCTCCAGCAAAATTGATTGTAAAGGGAAGTTTACATAATGCCATTTTCAGCTAAAAACATAAACTTTCCATGCTTTTTGGATGTTTATTTACACGACAATGGCATTTTGGGGGCCTGAAAAAAACAAAGTTTGATTTCCAAGTGCAAGTTTTTGAAAACGATGTCATTATAGTTTTTGTGTAAACTAAATAAAAAATACAAATTTGTGAAAATGGTGACATCATGCGCATACATATTATGTGTTTGGTCTATGGCAGTGGTTCTCAAACCTGTCCTGGAGTACCCCCAGCCCTGCACATTTTGTATGTCTCCCTCATTTATCACACCTGATTCAACTCATCAGTTCATTAGCGGAGACTGCAAGACCTGAAGTGGGTGTGTCAGATATAGGGAAACATACAAAATTTGCCGTGCTGGGGGTACTTAATGGAGAGGTTTGAGAACCACTGGTCTATGGGAATGCACGCAGTCGCGTAGTGTTTGTGACATCGCCAACTACTGGCCTGGCATGAATAATAAAGTGTTTTTAGTTGTTTTCACGGATCCATGTGAATGGGAATCGTAACAATGTTGTTGTCGGAAGCCCCATCCTTCCCGAAGGAGGTTTCGGAAGCACTTACACATATGAACAACCGTTTAGGTGCATATGGAAGATTGGAGGTGATTATAACCCTCCTGGAAATGGCAGAAGTCTGCCGGGGAAACACGGGCTCTGAGGCTATTCCTGGAAACCGGCTCCACACGAAGGCTATAGAATCTAGCGAATGTGTTGGGGGTCGCCCAGCCCGCAGCTCTACAAATATCTGTCAGCGAGGCGCCACAAGTCAGCGCCCAGGAGGATGCAACACTTCTAGTAGAGTTAGCTCGCAACCCGAGCGGGCAGGGCACACCCTGTGCCTGATAAGCCAGGGTGATGGCATCCACAATCCAGTGGGCCATCCTCTGCTTAGAGATTTCTTGGCCCCTTCTGCCGTCCTCCGTAACAGACAAAGAGCTGGTCTGAGGTCCTAAAGCTTTGTGTCTGGTCTACGTACCATCTCAACTAAACCGGGGCCTTTCAGTGCCTCTAGACGTTTGAGGTGAGAACACAGGAGGAAACCGGCTCCACACGAAGGCTATAGAATCTAGCGAA